ATATTATATGTTTTTTGCCAACAAGTGGGGGGGGGGGGCACGGTTCCGCCGGAATGTACTAAAAGCAATATTTGATTAACAAATACTTCTTTGAGGTAACTCAAAGCAGAACATGTATTGCTAAGTTATTTCATTTGATACTTAACAAAAGTGAATATTGTGGTTATCTATGAGTTAGACTTATTTTATAATTTTACAGGGTATTTTACAGCATTTAACAATTTTTTTTTATTGAATTTTATAATTGGAGGCCATTTTTTATTTATTGATTTAATTCTTGCTATTACAGTTTTTAAATATTTGAAGATTTAAAAAAAAAATCATTTCTATTACTGAATTTTTTCATTGGGGCCATTTTTACCTACTTGTCATTTGGGGACATTTTTACCGGGGCCATTTTTTCCTGGACCATTTCTACCGGGGCCATTTTTCCTACATTCAGTATTAGGTAATCAAAAATAACAAAGGGCAGAAGCCAGAAAAGATTTGACAAAGAGAAAAGTTTAAATTGAATTCTTTCTTAGACAGGCAACCAATGAATTTCGCAAATAAGGAGAAAGGTATGAGTGCGAAAAAATTAGTCTAGCAGCATAATTTTGAAGTTTTTGCAAAGTGTATAAATCTCTTTTCAACAGCCCACTACAGTACAAAGAATTGCAGTAGCATTTTATAGTGCATTGCACCCTCAGACCATAGCCGGTAGAGTACTGTACTGGCCTAATGAGAGAAGTAGGCTAAGACTTTGCAAATATGTTTTTAAGATTCCAAAACATTCGGGTTGTTAAGACGACTTGCATTTGAGAAGGTATTTTTCTATCTTCGTCCATAAATAAAATGTATCGCGCCTATAATAGGTCATGTCATAATATTTATTAGATGCCAATAATATGCTTTCATTTAATATGAAGATGTTTTACTGTCGTCTTTTTTTCAGTCCAAAATTCAAAGATTTTACTTGCGCCATATTTATCCTACTACTAAACACCCGGTGCTACAATCAATGGCGAACAAGTCTGGATCCGCGCCTGGACACAATATTCAAGAAATTTAACTTTAAGATGCACCTTATTATTTTTGGAAAATGTCAAAACAGCCTTCAAACTTCCAATTTGTTTTATTTTAAAGAAATAAACAGCCCTCATTTGCAACTGTCAACTGGTAGTAGCCTATTTGTTCCCTTCTTGATAGAAAAATTTAAAATCGTCATATCATTCAAAAAATCCCAATTGAAAATTGAACAAAAAATTCCAAGATCCTAAAGTGTCATCAAAAATCCAAAGATTTTGGGATAAATCCCAAGCAGTGGTCGCATTGTCTAAATGAACGAGGAGCAAACCTAGCGCAGCCTACCTAGTCAACATCTAGGCTAGGCTAATTAAATTGATTTTGAAATCAATAACCCACCTTAAAGGACTTTTTGTCGTTTTCTTCTTTGCAACAGCGGACGAAAAAAATTAGTTATTCTAGTACGATGTTTCAAAATTCTTTATTACTAAAAATTAACAATCACTCGTTTTGACGCACTCCGTTCTGTTGTGTGTGCCTGCTGTTCCTAATTTTGTGAATGACTGAGATGGACCATGTGGATTTATTAATAATATTTTGTTTGGGATGGAAAAAAGGAGAGTCAATTCCCCAAAAATGCTCCATCAGCAAATAGTTTAGTGTGCGCTATGGACAGTATGGCTATGGAATTTATTAACCACACAATCCACAATGAAGGGATTAAGTCGCAAAACTTTAGCTGCATTTGGTGGATTAAGTTGCAAAATTTTATCTTCGTTTGGTGGCGCCATTTACTCTAGGTAGACGGGGACCTGTTTCGTTACCGGTTGGTACATTTCTTACAAACATTCAGCCAAAGGCTAGTGAAAGTTTTTATCGATGTTTGCCATCCTTATTTGAGCTATCGTAAAGTCACGGTTTGCCGGAGTTGCGTTCAATTTAAATCTCCGAACTTCTGAAGCTGAGATATTCTATGAATGTAGGCTTGTATCGCAGGCTACAATAACGGGTGACCAAATAATGAGGTGCTAAATTTTTATTTAATGCTTGGTAAGTTCAAAACAGACATTCCGTCCGAGTGGGACTCATTCAAAAATTCGAGGGGGTTTGCTAGAAAACAGGGGGGGGGGTTCGCTAGAAAAGGGGGGTTCGCCCGAATCATACCCCCCCCCCACCTGGCTACGGGCCTGCATCATACTGTAACGTCCATTGTAATTCAAATTCAAAATTCTTTATTCAATCTATACAATCAGTAGCAGCCGAAGCTGAATTGCAGCATTGTATTTATAAGCTTTCCTACCAAATATAATACAATTTAAATACTGTACATAGAAAAAAAGACCATTACAGGAAACCAATTACAAGAAGCATAATAAAAAAAAACCATTTACAATAAAAGTCATTATTATTATTATTATTATTATTATTATTATTATTTTAAAAAAAGATGGAAAAACACACAATAAACAAAAAAGCAAAACCACAATCACAGCAAAACGGCAACAAATCAGGGGAAAACAGGAAAAATTGAAAACAATAACAGCGAAATTGGAAGGAAGGTTAACAGCAAAAAACATCAAGATTCTAAGAGCCTGGTTAAAGCTGGAATTGCACTGCTGTAATATCGTTCTGTATTAGTGTGTGTCTTTTCTAGTTTACAATTATTTCTAAGATGCATGGTGTGAGTGGACAAATTTGGTACAAACCATTTACTAAACCTCTCATATTTAAGATTAAACCTCTCAGATTTAAGGTGGAGTGTTCGTTATAGCCTATATTTTTCATACCAACATTTATTTTCTTTCATTGGCATGAGTTAAAAAAACAATATACAATATCATAAAAGAAAAAAAATGAGAATGATAACATGCAATGAAAGATTGCTCGGTCCCGAAAAGTCTTGAGTTGGGCAAGCCTGAAATAAACAATATGAACAATAATAACTGAATTAATTAATACTCAAAAAAAATAACACAAGAAAAATAAATAAATAAGTAAGTACATAAATAAATAAATAAGTACATAATAAATAAGTACATAAATAAATAAGTACATAAATAAATAAATACATAAATAAATAAGTACATAAATAAATAAGTACATAAGTACATAAATAAATAAGTACGTAAATAAATAAATAGATAAGTAAATAAATAAATAAGTAAATAAATCAATAAATAAATCTTTAATCATAGCGGGACACATAATGTAAATCAAAGGCCTAGTTAATAATTTGAAATCAATAATTTTGGATGATAAATAAAGATCGTTAACATATATAATAAATAGATTTGTATTGTATTGTATTGTATTATTGGGGGACCCCACATGTACTTGGTCTGAAATTGGATATTGAGTTGGAATACTTGGTACATTGTGCACGGTCAGAAAGATAACTTTTAAAAAGCTGTGCGCGGGTCCACGGATTCCATAGTGGGATAATTAATACAAAAGAATGCTGTGGTCAATGGTATCGAAAGCCTTGGAAAGATCGATGAAAATTCCATTCGAGAATTGTCGATTTTCAAATGCATTAACGGATTTGTTTGTCAGATCTATTAATGCCATTGAAGTATTATAACCTTTCCTGAAGCCAATCTGCCTTTTGTAGAGTATGTCATATTTAGAAATAAATTTAAATGCACGGTCATAGATGACTCTTTCCAAGGCTTTCGAGAAAATTGATAGAATTGAAATAGGGCGATAGTTAGATAGATCAGATTTAACGCGCGCTAGTTTCATACTGTCTGGGAACACTTCATTAGACAGGGCAAAATCTTGAACATGTGACATAATGGATAGGATATAAGGTCAGATACATATTTAATTGCTTTGGTGTGGAAATCATCAATACCAGGTGATTTGTTTGATTTGAATGAATTAAGTATATTGATCACTTCGAGCTCATCTACTGGACTAAGGAATAATGAATTTGGAATGGGATTAGGTAGAAAATCTTGGAATGTTGTATCAATTCGGGGAATTTTATTAGCAAGGGAGGGTCCAATTTCAACAAAATGTTTATTGAATGGGCAATTGAAATATTGAATGGGTCACTTTTCATATCACCGTTGCAGTTTAGGGAAGTATTTGGATGTTCCATACGATTTTTGTTGATCATGGGATTAATAGTCATCCATGTAGCCTTGGCATCATTTTTGTGTTTAAGAAACATATTTTGATATTGCATAGATTTAGAAGCTTTACTTATTGAATTCAGTTTATTTCGGTATTGTTTATAGGCTCTTTCATTATTGGTGGATGGGCAGTGCAGAAATTTGGCAAATAACTTATTTTTGTGTCTAATTGATGTGAGGAGACCATCCGACATCCATGATTTATTTTTTTTTAATTTGTTGATGAATGGTTTTGAAGGGGGAAACGTTTATCGTAAAAGGACTTTACTTGCTGTAAGCGTCATTGGGATCATGGGAAATAATTACATCAGCCCACTGTCGAGGCGAAAGTGATTCAGTGTAGTAGGGTTTATTTTTCTAAATGTAGTTATCTCTTCCTTGTTTGAACTAGTTGTAACGCTGTAAAAAGGTGTAATATTAAAAACGGGGAGATGATCCGAGATGTCACTATAGAATATTCCACTAATATTTTGGTAGTCAATTTGATTTGTGATTATATTATCTTAGAGGGTAGCAGTAGTCTTAGTGATGCGAGATGGTCTGTGGATACATGGAAGAAAATTATTACTAAAGATAGAATTTACAATGTCACGTGCATCATTGTCAGTTTCGTATTTCAAAATATCTATGTTGAAATCAACCCTGACATATACAATTTTGTTTTCTCTTGTTAATTTCGGTTAAGGGAGGATGGTCGATAGACGGTTCCGATAATAGTATTTTTGGAATGAGGTCTTGTTATTTCAATGAAAATGGATTCGGAAGTAGGCCTAGAGACTGGAAGATGGAGGTGATGCCTGGTAGAAAATGGAAGGCTATCACGAATATACATGGCTTCCAAAGGAAAATCTATTATTGATAAGAGCTGCTTTATTTTATCAACGTTTTTTAAAAGGCTTCTGGATTTAACATGAATGGTAAAAAAAATTGCTCGCTTTGATACTAGAGAATTTATTGGGGTCATAATACTGCAGGGATGTGGCATGATTGTTAGCAAAAAATGAGTGTCAGTCATTGAAGTATAATTACTTTAATTCTTTACAATGTAAATTATTGTAAGATGGGATATGATACTAATAATTGTTAAAATTATTTTAAAAACAGCTGAAACATACATGCACATCTTATACAAAGAAATACAAATAGTTTTCCATAATAAATACGAAGTATAATAAAAGTATAGTAACTTTTCTATTTTTCATGGTAAAAGACGGTATAGTAGATTGTTTCAACATTTATGTTTAATTATTTAGATTTTTTTGATATATGTAGCTTATTGTTATTAAACGCATATAACGCCTTTTTGGTTACAAGGTAGGCCTACTTTACTGGATCCTCAATTGTTTTTAGAGCACGTTTGGGCGACACTTACTATCGAAAAAAAAAACAACGAAATGAAACAGCTTTGAAATTAACATCAGAAACGTTTTAGTAAAACATGATTTCCTCAACCATATGTCGAAACAATTTTAGTAACAACTGGAAATATGTCACTGATACGTGACCGCATTAAAGAAACAATTGAGACTATTATTAGGTCATGCGCCTAAAAAAACTGTTTGTGTCAATGTCGATGGGTTGAGTAATATGTTATTTCTATGCTTAAAGAAGGGTATAATTAGGTATGACTTTGAATTTATCGTTTTCATATTAGCAGAAATATTGTTCATTTCATAGAAATTCCTCAACCTTTCACCGAAACATCTACCAATCAATCGATAACAAAAGGAGAGAATGTCACTTTAACTTGTCGCATTAGACAATCAGCGGGAACTGTTATTTGGGTGAAAGGTCAATCATCTCTAAATGCTTCCTCAATAATAAACGCCACAAGCCGAATACGAATCGAAAGTAATTCCGATATTGGGCTCTATCAACTAAAAATTATCAATGTGAACCTACAAGACGAGTCTATCTATAGATGCTACGTCGGACATATATTTACCAATGACGATTTAACTTACTTTGAGTCGCAAGTCCTGGTATATATTCATCCACAAGAACCATTTCCACTGATTAGAACAACTGGGCAAGACGATAAACTTGAAAGGTATGTTGTTAATATTGGTGACGTCATCAACATGAAATGTGAAGCTAATCTCAGTAAGCCAGCTGTCAAATTATCATGGTTTCTTGATGACTTACATGTAAAGACAGCTAATGAATACACAGAGACAGAAGATGGTATAACATATAATACATCAATTGAGTTTTTAAAGACTGCGACAGTGGCAGACAACATGAAAAAATTAGAGTGTGCAGCTGAAAGCCCAACAATTGAAAGACGGAGCAGCATGTTGACCCTAAATGTTACATGTGAGTAAATTACACCTCAATCGTTTGAATAGCCACGGCGACGGCAGCAGCATTAGCGGCCACAAAAATGAACGATCAAGTCTTTTACATCATAAAAATGTAAAATCATGATAAATAAAAAGTAAAATTCCGTACGTTTTTTAAGTTAAATAAAAAAATATACATTTTTTTTCCCCCCAAGTTAGCCAACTATATAACTTGAATGTACCATATTATCGATGAAAATGAAAAAATAAGAATGGTACTTGCACTTCTGCTGAAACAGTTGTACTTTCGTTGAAAAGATATGCCCACTTTAGTCATACTTTCGCTGCAATAATTGTTTAGTTACAATTTTCGTTAGTAGCTATGCTGTGATGTTGTGGTAACTTTGTAGAAGATTTGATATTTATTAATTTCTTCTCTTTTTGTGTATTGTTTTTTTTATCATAATATACATTCTCTGGGTATTTTAGATAAACCATTGGTAGAGGTAAATCCACAATCCATCACCACCGAAGAAGGTGAAGATGTTTCATTCACGTGTAACTCAACTGCTAATCCAATGACTTTTTCATACACGTGGATTATTGAACTTGACAATGGAACGAATCTAGTTAAAGCCAGTCAAAACCTAAAACTGAATAGAGTAACAACAGGCTTTGATAATGCTAAAATCAAATGTGAAGTCGAAAACTCAATCGGAAGATCACATGCAAAAGTTGTAAACTTTACAGTCAATGGTAACTGTTTATTTTATTACAATAACAATCATTCTTGTATATCAATTTGTCTTTGCCACTCCACACTGTAAATATGATAATTTGTACACATTCATGCCTGATATTTATTTTCTAAAGGACCTGGAGCACCGTTATTCGTGATTTTACCCTGTATAGGATCGATGTTTCTTTTCATGATCACCATATTGTCCGTGCTGGTGTACAAATACAGGTTTAAAATACGCATGATGAAAGTGCGCCAAAATGTTTTCAAAAACACTGCTGGAGGTTAGTCTACTAGCAATTTGAACTATAAAATTGATAATGTCGGTGGCTATGTAATAATATGGATGGTGGTGGTGGTGGTGGTAGTGTTAATTGTTGTGATTATGGTGAATGTGTTATGCCGAAATGATGTTAATGATAATGATGGTAATTTTGATTATGCTGGTAATGATTATGTTTACACTTGGCGGTGATGATGGTAATTGTTTCCATAATAAACGTGTTTATATATACCCTTTTATTATAAAATCTTTATCTTCAAAGAAAAATCAGATTTTTCCTTCTGTCTATAATATTTAAATTTTAGGGGGCGAGAAGGAGTTTGATTTCTTCATTGCTTATAAAAGTGGAGGGGATGACGAAGACTTTGTTGTGAATACCCTGACACCTAAACTAGAAGAAATGGGTTTCAATGTTTGTGTCCATTTCAAACACTTTTTACCTGGCAGTTGTGAGTACACCGTGCGTTACATATGAAATAAATAAGCAGCTGTAGATTAGTGTTTAAAATGCTTGCTTTCAAATCACAGTCCTGGATTCAAATATTTGAAACATCATTCCATCGTCCGAGTGCACTTTATGTTGGATATACATGAGATTTTAAAAAATTACGAAAAATGTGGTTTCATTTATGTTTTAATATTTTTGCAGAATGCTATTTTTTGCTGAAAATTTCGTATTTTGCTTCTTTAACAGTGATTGCCACTGAAAACGCATACCCTTAGTCCAACAAACACTCTTACCGGAAACTCAGGGTACCTATTAATAATAGAAAATCCGGTTCTAATTATGGCTGTTAAACTTAATCAGCTTTTCCTTTTTAATTTTGTCAAAGGGATTTGTATACAATTCAGTATACAGGAGCAGATCCAGAGATGTCCGAAAAGGGGGTAGGGGGAAAAAGTGTGGCCGGTCCAGACAAAACTACCCTAGGGGTCCGGGGGTATGCCCCCACGAATTTTTGCTTTTCTAGACGCCTGGAAATAGCCCCTGAGGCGTTTTGGGTGATCGATTTTTTTTCTTTGTTTCTTTTTTTTTAAATTATTTTTTTCAACTTTCCAGAAGGGGCGGGGGATGGCCCGGTCCCCTCTAAGTCCGCCCCTGGTATGGTCGTGTTTAGTTAAATTGTTACTTTTAACCTAGTAAAGTTGTTATCGTTGAAAATGAAACTAAATTCAAAGTAGATTTAAAGATGCTTTACTGGCGATACCATAATATGCAAATTTGAAGTGAAATTGTTTTAAAATTGTTTGCTATTTGATGCCATACGGTTATTTTATTGTCTTTTAGCCATCATTGATAACATCACCGAGTCGGTTCACAACAGTTGGAAGACAATGCTTGTACTTTCGCCCGCGTTCCTTCAGAGTGGTTGGTGTCATTACGAATTTAAAACCGCTTGTGGTAATATGCTGAAACAACGAGTCGACATACTGCCGATCATTTACGAAGAAATACGAAATCTACCCGACCTTGACGACAACATACGGACGCTTATCAATACAATAACATATCTTAACTGGAACAGAGGAAACATTAATGAGGAACAGAAGATACAGTTCTGGAAGGACATTATGAAGTCTGCACCACGAAAACCGCATTGTGGCGTCACAAGACGAAGAAATGATACAATTACAGTAGTAGATCTTGAATGACCGTGTGATGACCGTGAGATAGTGATTACAATTCTTGCATACCCAGATCACCTATCATCAATTCTGTTTCACACACTCTCATACTGGTGATACTATAGCAATTAAACTTCGGGCAACCGGTTGGTACTATGGTACACTGTTTCACGTGCAAAAAATGCAAAACAAGAACGAATGTATTTTTAGCTCTGATGAGGAGCACCAGGAATACCCAGCTGATTGATTAGTTGATCTATTTTGTGCTGATTGCTTAATACTGCGTGTTACGGCTAAAATCAATATAGTGCGCCCTCAATGTATCTGCACAAGATTTGTGTGCCCCATTCACTTTGACCAAAAGTTAAATCAAAGTGTTGACTTTGAGCTTGACTTTGATTAACCACTGTTTAAAAACATCACTCCCTGCTCCCCTGACTATATCAAATTTCCTAAGCCATGACAAATGCAATGCTCAAAGTGGCCTGAATTCCTTTAGTAGACCCCACCTAATCATTCCATCGTTAGCTTACCTTCAATCCAGTTTACATATACAGTATTCCATACCCTTTTAAGGAATTTTATAATTTCAATTCTTCATTATTTGGCGTATAACCCACACATAACGTAAGTTTGTATTTCTTGTTTAAGAACCATTATTGTTGTGGACTATTTGTTAGTTTATTAATAAAGTTTACGTAATTTAGAATTTTTTCATGATCATTATTGAATAATTGTTAAATGTATTAGCTCAGAGTGTACCTAAAATAACACGGAGCTGCACTTATGTTTAATGACGTAACGACTGTAGTAGTTAACTACTGTTATATTAATTAATCCATGATTGATCTAAATTCAAATAGTTGGAATAGTTTCGATTAGTTTTATTGACAAAATCATTATCTAGTAGTTTGAATTATGATATAGGTTTAATTGCATTTTAGGATGTTATTAATTATTAGTACATGCAAGTAGCGCGTATAATAGCGCATATATGCATTTTAATGTTTATAAAGCCTCGCTCGTCCAGGGGGAAACGAACGGGTCACGATTTATGTTCGTCACGCTTGACTGAGCACATCGTTGAGTGACGACACTTTATAGTAGTAGATGCTAAATTTAGATATATCTGCCAAGGATTAAGTCCTGGCCTATAGGCTTTAATATAATGCTTTAATATAGGTATATAACTCTTTTATATTTGTGTACGTGCTTATATATTGTTGTTTTACTTTACAGTTTAAACCGGATAACAGTTCATTAGTCCATCGGTACTTAAATCAGATATTGCGTTTGAATAAATGCTACAATTGCGTTACTATATCTACCGTGTTTGAAGTTTATTACGCCCTTTACAATTATATGTAGTTTGGAACTTACACTGCGGTCGGCAACCCATAGGTCGCGACCCCACTTTGGGTCGTGAGTGAATTTTGAGGTCGTCAGATCGCGTCTCAAAAAGAAATACTGTATACAGAAAGTCTTAAGTCTTAAGTGTTAAAATAAACACTTTTAAATCTGTATAGTGTTCTCGATCATTAAATCATTGAAACAAAACTACTTTGATGAAATTTTGGTTATTGTCTTCAATTTGTGTTAATTTTTGGTTGTTGTTAACCGATTTACGAATTGATGGCCTTGATAATTCATTTCAATGCGCCGCAGGGAATTGTCTCCCGGTGTGCTCAATCACCAACAGAAGGACCCCACTGAAAATAATTCTGGGGTATCGTTGGGTGTTTACACCAAATAAATCCAATCCACCATTTTTTTTTGTTAAATATTGAGCTTTCCATCGAATGCATGTAGCATGAATAAATAGTAACTCAAAAGTAAGGGTGCCTGTTATGTTAGTCAGAATCCCATATGAAAGTATTAGTAGAGCGGCTAAGGAGAAAAATCGTGCACTTTACACATCTAGATGTGTATAAGAGACAGATCTTAACTAGCTCCCTATCCCCTTTACCAAAAGCCACCTTTTTCTTTTTAATTATTTCTCTTGTACTTTTACAAATCCAGGGCTTATTATTAGGATAAATTTTAATTGATTTAGTTTGAACTACACTGTTAGTACAAAAAACCTATGTAAGCACATACGGATTCAGTGACTTCACTAATGTCATTTGAGCTGTCAAAGAAAACCGACCAATCCGTGCACTCGAATGCCCCAATAAGCTGGTCTTCAGTATCCTGTGTCCATCTACGAAAGGTTCGTTTGCTTGGTTTTTGTTGTTGACAGACGGGCTTATATCTGGGTACAAGTAACACAAGGCTGTGGTCAGGTATTTCTCACTGGGGGCACTTTTGTCTTTTTTATACAGTTGATAATTTTTTTTTACTTTGATAGGTTATGCCTGATATCATCTTTACATCATTGTTCATTTAGCACTGTTTCTGACTTTATTTGATTAGTTATACCACAATGCTACGCAGCAACATTGATTCCATATGTTACTTCATTATAATACAACTTATTAATAGGTCCATGATAATACAGGTATGACTTCTAGAGTATTCTTTGGCAACAGTATATCATTTGTTTGAAGAAGTGTCCTGGTTGGGTTGTATCTGCGATGTACCAGGGGCCGCTAGTGGTAAATATGTATGGCACTCACCTTGACAGCAAGAAATCACATTTATTTGATAGGCTTTTCCCGATACGATACTCACATCACTTTTCATTTATTTGAGCTCTGCTTTCATCATTATTTAATTATATAAACAGAGTGCTACACACAAAAATTATATATATATATATATATAGTATATATATATATAAAATACATATTTGAAAATGATATTTAGAAGTCTATTCGATATTATTGCCTTCATATCATTACTGTACTTGAATGTGATATTCAATTCATGTCTACATAATTTCATTTATGCTAAAGTTATCTTTTACTTTTCTTAATTTTTCTTGATGTTTCTTTTATTTATTTTCATTTTCGCCATTATATTCATTTTCTATTCTTTTTTATTTCTTTTCCATTTCCAGTTTTTTCTTTTCCTTACCGTTCTTTCTTTTCCTTTCTTTAATTTCCTTTTCCGTTTCTTTCCCTTTCAATATTTACATATGTTTATATATCATTTGGAAATGATAATTAGCCATCTCATAGACAGGTCTATTCGATATTAGTGTCTTCACACCATTAATTTAAATATTTGATTTATGTTTACATAATTTCATTTATGCTAAAACTAGCTTTAATATAAACGATGTTTAATATCTGCATCTATCTCTCTCCCTCTGCACTTGCTCTCATACCATACAAAGCAGTTATTTACTTATTTTTTAATTTTCATTACTTTCGATTGATTACCAATTTGTTATCCCTTAACTGTTTTCTAGTAATTTTTTAAATTTCAAATTATTTCATGTACCTTTCTTTATTGGCAATCATTCTTCTTTCTAAATGGTGTTACTTTACTGCCATAAAGCAAAAACAACATATGCAAAACAAGTCTAGTCATGTTAGGCCTATATTGAAAAAAAAATGTAAATTTTTCAAAAATTCAGCAAAATAATAGTTTGGCTGTGACTTTTCAAACCTTACGGGCAGGCAAATTTTTATACGGCGAGATTTGAGGAATCTGGCCGTTAAAAATGCCAAATGGCAACGCTGGAGGCGATTTTTTTTTCCGTACGAAACATTTACATGAAACTCCACTCGGGCCGTCTCGGCTGAATCGACCCGAAAATCTTCTATTGCAGAATTCAGGTCAAAAGTTTATCAACAACTTCTGATCTGATCTGAGAGAACGTCGCTGTATATTTTTAAAAAATACATTGATGTTACCATATGCTAATACTAATGGGTCGTTTAAAATGACATAATATTTGATTGAGCTTCACGAGTAAAAAAAGGTTATTTTAACTTGAGTTACATAGGCCTACTGTGGCAATTTTAATTTTTTAGTTAGGTCTGGGTCTTGCATAATTACCTAGGCCTAACTACAAAAAATATACGCTTTCTGGGGAAAGCACAGAGTGTAAGGAAAAGCGCGTTTCTCGAGGCGTTTCATCAAACGAAACAGGGTGACAGTTATTTTCAAACTAAGAGAAGAGCTGAGAAGAAGCACCTCTAAAATACTGGATGCCATAAGACCTGCCAAAATGGCAGAGTACCAACGAATGTATAAATGACAGGGCCGGCGGAACGTTTTTCAAAGTGGGGGGGCCCCACTTATAAGCAGGCCAGTAACAGGGGTCTTGGGTCCTGGGGGGGGGGCAAAGGTAATACTTTTCCCGGTTAGTAATTTATGACTTGGTGTGATAAACCCCCCCCATATAGAAATAGAAAACAATAGGGCATGGCTTATTTTAATATTAATATAGGGCACACGCGTGTGTTTGGAACTAAATATAAGCATTTTCATCGTGGTTTTATTTATTAAAATTCATAGGCCTATTCTTTCACCATCATTACACATTGAGGCCCTTCTTTTAGGTAAAACGATCTATATTAAATTTTCTTTCTCAAGTTTTGGGACTATTATGTTTTAAAATAACTTAGAAGGCAAAGGAGGGCAAGCACAAGCTTCAACCATAACAAATACGCGCGAAGCGCGCGAAAATTTTTTTTGTGCTTTTAATTCTAATTTCGTCGGAACTCCCTAATTGTGCAATTTTTAGAGGAAATTGGCCTACCTCAACAAGAAATGCTCTTATGTTATATATGGCCACACTCGTTTTTTTTTTTTTAAACTGAATATAAGTATTTTCCTTATGGCTTTATTTATTACAAACATATTCTTTCAACATCATTACACATTGAGGCCCTTTTTTAAATAGGTTAAACGATCTACCTTAAATTTTCTTTCTTGAGTTTGGGACTATGTGTTATAACTTAGAAGGCAAA